TCAAATTTCAATAGAGACCGTCATCATTTAAATGTTTTTCTGCATTTTGGTGTTTGGGAAAGATATGATGACAGTAGCAGACCTTACACAAAGCCCGGTTATGGGATTTTTTACGCGACTTTGATTCAAATTTCAATAGAGACTGTCATCATTTGAATGTTTTTTCTGCATTTTGGCTTTTGGGAAAGATAACAATGGCAGACCCACGATTTAAATTCGCTAGAAATAATATATAGATATACTTCGATAACAAGTGAAAGAATACAGTAGACACCGTGATAAGAAGGGAAGCACAAGATCGTCCTCATCCGTCGTTCAACTCGTACGATGTATGTACATAAGGAAATCATTTCTCGTAGACATAGGAAATCAACTACAAGCCATTACATCACGTGAAATTACTTATTAATGATGTTGTCGAACGAAGAGCGGGATCTTCGTCTTCGCCACTCCAGGAGCAGATGCTTTTTTTCGAGAGAGAAGCATCTTTAGATGACAAAAAGGCGGAGTTCAATTGCGTCGTCGAGGCTCGTTGGACTGTTTCTGCTCGTAGTAATGGTAAGCGGCTGCACCAGAGAGCACGGCCAGCGTCAGGGCCTGTGCATGCATCCTGTAACGACACGACACCATATAGTAATTCAGTCACATACGCTTCCAAACAATCTTCATATTCATTAAAAAGATAAGCTTTTCTTGTTCCTCCGACACCTCTCTATTTGCTGTTTTAGTAGACTAATTGTCTAAGACTCTCCATATGTACAACTAGTTTGATTTAATGGGCATGCGATCGATCGACGACGCGGCACTGTCTTACACATGCGGTCGTGCTGATGAGGGGAGAGGGGAGGGATTACCGAGCATGAATGAGGCGGAGGCTTGGCTTGAGGGGAGACTTAGTGCGTGAATAAGCAAGCGATGCTCCAATTGCTGATGCCCACAGTCCTCCTGCATCAAACCCCATCCCCACGATTCAGTTTCGCCGAAATTCTACGCAGTCGTTACGCGTGATATAGTTTCGAAGATAGATAGAGATGGAACTGACCAATGCTGGCGAGCTTGTGCTCAGAGACCCAGGATTGAATCGCCTCCATCTTGAGCGCTCTTCTTCTTCTTCTTGGCAAAACCAGCTGAGAATACGGCGAGGTGGGTGAGAAAAAAGATAGCTCGAAAACGTGGGATGAGCGTGGTCGTATGGAGGAGCTGAGAAGGCTGGTGACATTTATAAGGGGAAAAGAGAGGAGGTGGTGAAATGATGTCGTTGGCGGGCGGTGTTGTTGACGATGAGGTCGAAGAGTGTGCGCGCTTTGGGGATTTGGTGTGTGGCCCTTGGTTTTGTGCACCGGAACCGTGAACTCTTCCACAAACTACTGGCTTCCCTTCATCCGGTTTTCCTTCTCTCTCTCTCTCTCTCTCTCACAGAGGATAGGAGTTGGGAGTTTGAGGAAAGAAACTGTACTGAAACAATTTTCAGACCGCATCCGTACCAAGCCTCAGCAGCTGCTATTACTTTGAAACGACTCGACTATTCCTTCATCTTCGATAGTAATGGGTCGTTTTCCCGGGGCATTTGTGGTCCAACATCAGCGTCCACATGTTCGGCACCGCAACAAAGTTGCAACACTTTTGCACGTATCAAAACCGAGTGCCCACGTTCGTCGTTAGCTCGCTTATCCGAGGTTTTAAACTTAGCATTTTTGGCCGGAAAAAACAGAAATACAAATTGTTAGAAAGTCGATCGCATGTACATTTCAACAGCACGTCACACGCGCGAGTCGGGTTAGGTGGGGCAGGTGCATATGCGCTATAAATCATGGTGGAAAGTTCAAATCATGTTAAATCAAGTTGAACTTGCTTACTTATAGTAAGCTCTTCTAGTAAAATGGAAAAGGGAAAAAAAAAAAGAACAGCACTTTCTTGAACAAGAATGCCCACGTGAAACCACGGAAGCCGTTGGATTTAACGTCAAAGTCACCGACTTTTGGGGCTTAGTGCTAAGTCTGTTGAATATGGGGGAATTCCCATAAAGAGAGATCCTTTCTTTTCCTTAGATTGACTCAATTTGTGAAGAGTAATAATAAAATAAAGTACGTTTGAGCATAATGAGCACGAAATTAAAGTATGGTCATGCCTCTGGGGGCAGTGAGGCAACAGGTGTCAACGAGGCACGAAAGATGCCTTGAGATCTGATCTCAGTGGCCTAACACTACGAAAGATGCCTTAGTTTTGCTGGTTCTCCAGTGGTTTTCGTGTGAAAACCGGGAGTACTTGGTCCATCCGTCCCGACCACTTTAGGTTAATGTATGTCAAGATATTGAGTTGGACAAACGTTTGTTAAGTCCCATGGAATGGAATCTAATTATATTTTAACTTTGCCTCGTGGAGTCATTGTAGGGTTATATGTGTCGTCTACCGGTATAAAAAATAACTTACACTTTTACAAGATTAATTCCCTATAAAAATCCAAATTTTAGGTATAATCTCAATTCTTTCTCGAACTTTTTTTTTGTCTAAAAAAGTCCCCAACCTTTTCTCCAGTCCCAAATCTACTCACACATCCGAAATCACCACTGATTTTTTTTTTAGATTATCACATCAGGATGCTACTATTATGCCATATGAAGGCGAGGGTGTTGATAAAAACACGGGTTCTGATAATGAACCTCTAACTAGAACTAGAGATGAGCATGGATCTCGAGTAAAACTAGGAATTGGACCGAAACAACCTTAAATTGGTTCGATTCCCAATTCCTGGACTCTTTGGTGTAGTTCCTGATTCAAAATTTTTTGGAACCAAACTTTATGGTCCGATTATGGTTCCCATTAGGAACCGAACCAAACTGGATTGAGAACCGAAAAATCAAACCAAACTGAGGTGAGGTAACCCAAGATTTAGTAGAATCTTTGGATCTTTTCACCAGTTTTTATACTAGAAGTATCAAACTTTCAGAATTTGGAATATCATATTCAATATGTTCTTCCATTAGTAGGATTAGTTTTACAGCTTGCTCTGGTACAAGTGGAAGATATGTACCCATTAAAATCCACCTACAACATATATATTCATTGCTGGAGAAATTTAGTATACCATGCACTTTGGAAACCTCAAATTAACTAATTTCTACTCTTTTATACGTGTTTCTAGTCTACTATCAATCCCTTTAATTTACTCTACATGACAACATTATACGACTTCTCTTGTTAGGTTTGACAGATTACTTCGCTTATAAATGGTTTTGTTTGGGATGGGTAGTTTTGTTGATTAAACTCTATCTATCTAAAGAGAAATTTTTGTTATTACTTTAATTTTCATTTTGCTTGACAAAAAATGAAGAAGAAAATGAAAACAGATAAAAATATGAAACAAATAAAAAAGGAATTGGTCAGTTCATAGGTAGACCCTAGAACCAATCCTAGAATCGCAAGTTCGGTTCCAGATTATATAGGGTATGTTCCAGATTCCAAAAATTGAGAATCGGTCATAATATGGTAACTTCTAGGTTCTAGGGGTAACCTGGACCTAATATGGAAATGATCACCTCTAATTGGTCTTAATATTTATAATTTTGAAGAAATTAGTTGCGATTTTTGAACTAGTAGGCAGATTTGGGACTAGAGTGAAAGTGAAGTTTTTTTTACAAAAAAGTTTAGGACAAAATTGGGTTTGGATCAAAAGTTGTGATTTTTGTTAGGAAATTAAGCCTACTTTTACACTTAGACAGTTTATATACGAAAGAATTTACTTATGTAACTATTATGAGACATGTCACATCGGAGGTGAATCCAATATCAATCCAATTTTCAATTAGGGCTGCCTGGCCATGATGCCACTAGCCCGCCAAGGAAAAGAAACTGGCCCGAATCCTACTATCCATTAACGTTTTAGGTTGGGAAAAAAGTAATAAAACAGTCATAAATTTATTATATTGATATCAATTCAATTTTAAACCTTTCACTTGAACCAATTTAGTTATAAACTTTTTCACATTGATACCAATTCAATCCCTTCAGTCAATTTAGGCCAGAAATCGTTAATGTGGACACCGATCGTTCTACGTGGCACAGCCGACACTAACGTGAACAATTATTTATTTATTTATTATTTTTTCCTTTTTTCTTTTTGCCAGTGGCCCAATATCCAACATAAGGAGGTCATCCCTCCCTATTAGCAGTGCCTCATCTTCGCTGGCAAGTAGCTCGGGGACGGTCGTACACTCGCCCACTCCAACGTCCAGAAGGAGTCCACCCTCGTCCTCTGGCTTCATGAAGGCATGTTGATCTTTGATAAAACCCTAACTGACAAGACCATCATCACTCTCGAGGTTGCGAGCTTTGATACCATTGACAAGGTCAAGCCAAGTTCCAGGACAAGAAGGGCGTCCTCCCGATTAGCAACGCCTCATCTTTGTTGGAAAATAGCTCGAGAATGGCATGGTCAGGGAGGGTCAGCCTCGCTTGGATGAGGGTTGGCCTCACTAGGCCTCGGCTAGGCGAGGGTGAGGCCAATCCTAACCCAAGGCTGCCCTAGCCTAAGGGAGAGTCGGTCTGGCTAGATCTGGCAAGGGGGGCCTTGTCAGCGTTTGCCCTCACCCAGGCATAGCCTAGTAAGGTCGACCCCCGCCGGCCATGACCTGTGGCCACCGACAAAAAGAAAAGGGAAAGGAAAAAAAATAAAAAACAAAAAAATGTCCACGTCAGCATCAATCATGCTAAGTAGGACGATCAGAGTCTACCTCAGCAATTTTCGGTCTAAATTAACCGGATAGACTGAATTGGTACCAATATGCAAAGGGTTATGACTTAATTTTGGTCCAATTAAAATGTTTAGAACTGAATTGATACTGATACAGTAAGTTTAAAACTTTTTTTTTTGGGGTACTTTTCCCTTCTAGGTTGAACCCGGAAACGTGCGTAAACTGTTAACGGGCCGAACTTGGGCCGGGCCCGTTAACAAAAAGCCTCTCGCCGGCCTCCGCTTCTCCCTTTGCTTTCGTTCCCCGTTATTTCCGATAAACCCGAAAAAGCGGAAAGAGAGAAGAAGCAGAGAGAATTCCATTTCAACCGGAATTTCGCGCCATTCGTGCTCGGCTCGAGCCCGATGCGAAGCTGACGATGCTCTCCGGCGCGTAGCAGCAATGGAAGCTGAGGGAAAGAGTGGCGCGAGAAGTAGAAGAAGGAAGCCCCTCGCGGACCTCACCAACGCCGTCTCCCGGCCGGAGCTCGCGCCTCCTCGCAAGCCCGGCGCTTCGCCGGCTCCCAAGAGGATCGCCCCGAACCCTAGCTCGTCCGATCCCGCCCCTCCTCTCCCTTCCACACCCGCTCGCCCGATCGCATCTTCTTCCGGTCAGTTTTTTGGATTCCGTGTTCCGATTGAATGTCGCGGTGTTTTCCGATTTCAGCGTCTTGGTTGAATAAGGTTATCGATTCGTGTTATTTCGAGTTTCGAGGATAGTTGGCTTTTAGCGATTGTTAATTGGGTGATCGGATTGGTAGAAACTTTGATGTGATTGGATTAAACTGGCTCATTGTAATTTGAAATGCGTGAGATTGCTATACCTGAACGGAGTATCCAGTCGTCAATGAAATTGGGGCCTCATTTGCTTAACTTGGTACTTTGTTCTTCCAAAATGTTTCGCTGTTCAGGGCATGATGTTTCCGAGAGGTCTGTGTTCCGTACAACTTATAGCCGCAGAAAGCCGGCGGATAAAGGCAAGCGTAAAGAGAAGGCCGTTGCTGTCTCTATGACCAGCTCTCCTGCTAGGAAGATCAGAAATGCGAGGTACTCGCCCTTCCTAATATATTGGGTTTCTGCTGTTAAGTAGAAGATTTGATTTTTAGCACTATGTTGAAAGCAAGAGGGAAAGAGGGTGAGGTTGATGTGAATGTAAGATGTGGGTTATGTCAAGATTCAGCAAGAACTTTAATTTTTTTCAACATTAGCTGTTTGTTGGGGTTGTAATTTCTGTTTTGGCCAGTACTGTTGGTTTCAAGTGGCATGCTTATGCCCTCTTTGTATAGTAGTAGTACAGTTAGTCTTATTGGAAGAAACCTGGCAATCAATGCTGGTTTCATGTGCCATATTTGAGCAGATAATTTGCCTATTGAAAGTCAGGATGTTTGACTTGATGACAAAACTTGCTGCTTGAGTATTATTATTATTACTTTTTCTATTTCATTAAGATGGTTGAATAGTACCTTTTTTCATCAGTATTGTGCAGAAGAATTGCGTTGTCTCTTAGCGAAATGACTTTCTTGTTTGTAATTCTAATTTAACTTCAATGGGCATGTACATCTGTTCCCATTCTCCATTTTCAACGATACTTTTCTGGTGTTTGCTTCTTTCCTACACAGGAACAAGCTTAATGATGAAGGAGATGGTGCTGGATCCAAGTCATGCTCTATGCCAAATAAAAGGGTATTCTGTCAACATTCCTTTGCATTTAAAGTAATCTATTGCACGTATCATATCATCTCTTTTGGCTTCCTCTCACCTCAACCCTTGCTTGTTATCGTATATCTCAGTAGATAGAAGAACAGTGACTGGACAGCGTTTTTTGCTCAATTATGTTTGGGATGTTGACGCAGAAGCTGCAGAGGCCACCATCTAGGAAAGATGTGCCTGATGATGCCTTGCAAGATTACATCAGGCAGAAGAAATCTTACTTTGAAGAGATTGATGCATTCGAATTGCCAGAGGAGGAGGTAGCCTCAGTTAATGATTTGGACTAAATGGAAGAGATACGGGAGATATCAGTGACCAGACCGCTCAAGTATAGGTGGTGATGTCTGTACAGTCAACTGACAGTGTAATACTCGACTACTCTACACAGGGATTTTGGTTTTGTAAAGTGTACATATGTAGTCTTACTCTGGAGGTTGTAGAATTTGTCCTGCGTATTCCATGACTTGATCATGGAGTTTTGAGATAAGAAGAGCTTTTGTATAGTATTGATTACTAATCAGAAATTTGCCTATGCTTCACCAAGGCAATCCAGGCTGCTTCATTCTTACACTTGGCCGTAGTTTTAGCAAATCACCCAAATGCTAGCAAACTGTTTGAGGGAAGCTTGTCCAGCAAGTTGTTTATATTTGGAGAGCACTGTCTGGCCCTGATGTGTAATCAACATGTTCTTGTTAATTGGTCATTACAATCTTATCTCTACTTTCCTAGATACATAGTCATATTATCAGTTTTTAAAAATAGATTGCTATTTGCAATTGAATGACTGATTGGAATTTGCTGCGTGCTGCTAACAAAAAGGAAGACAGTGTGGATCTTAATACTGGTTGAGCGAAACAGACAAGCTCCTTTATTTTTCAAGCAGCAGCCAGTATTTAGTCATGAAGACAAGACACACGATGACAAATTATTAAAAGATATTATCTAGCCCTGATTTCACTTCTGCATTCATATGCGGCAGTTTCAAATTGCATATCAGCTTCATACTTAATTTACTTTCCTGCAATTCTTTCTTATTTGACCATTGCTTCCTTTGGCGGGCTTTATTTTGCTCATTTTGATCATTGCCTTGGCAAAATCCTTGAAAAATGCTCCCGAGTCGCATGCGTACGTCTTGACCAGTGAACCCACAGAACTGCCGTTGAAGAGCTCTTGATCAGAGTGAAGAAGGCCCTTCTTCTGCAGTAAATTGTTGAAGTAGAAGTTGTCGAAATGAGTCGGCGTCTGGATGTCTAGCCTTTGAAGGACATTATCATTTCCACTTTTGGGACATTTCATCCGCAATTTTTGGGCAAAGGTTGCATCTATGTTCGAGTCATTGTAGATCCGTCCTCGGAAGGAAGTGCATCTCGCTAGGCCGATGGTATGTGAACCTGTCAATTTGAAAACCGTCGTCAGCTGATAAAGTACATCGATGTCACCAAACAAATTCACGATAGATGCTGAATTCTGGTTCTTTTCTTCTGATTTTTTCTTGGATGTAATGCCAGTGCAGGGTGATGATATGAAGTTGAAATTACCAGAAAGAGCCACCATGTTCTTGACCGAAAGACCCTGAGCAGAGAAGCTGGTTATGAGAGCACTGAGATTAGAAGTTGGTGGAGGTATGGAGGTGTTAGCAAGGCTCCTGCTAGCAGTAGTGGAGTCGTTTCTTCCTAAGCCTACGTTCCATGAAGGACCTCCCAACTGTGACCATGCCACACGAGAGTATGTTACTAAACGAAAACATAGAAGAAATCTGAAAATATTAGATTTGTCCGAATTTAGCTGTCGAGGCAAAAATGTAGTAAATTAGAGTCGACATGTTCTCATCTCTTTAAGTTGCGAGACTTTTTAAGGCAACGAAGAGGACTTGCATAAACGACTGAGTCGCGAGCAGCAAGAGCAACAATATCTGCACAGGAAACCACTCCGGGGCACGCCTTCTCTAGCCTAGCCTTGATGGCGTCGATGACTTCGAACCCTCTCACGGAGTTATTGTTCGGAGCTGCTGTTTTCTCGCCCACAAAACTGGGCGTGTCGTCCAACAATATCGACGCATCGCATCCCTGACCAACATTTAGACACACAACATCAATACTGAGGAGAAAGGAAAAGAGAAGGAAAACTTTGAAAGGCTAGTGAATCAAAGTGGGATCGTTTCACAAGGAATCTCTAGAAGACGTAGGCTCACATTGACGAAGCAGTCATGGAAGTGCAGTCGAAGCAACGACGCGCCCATGCGGGTCTCGTTCTTGATTGCTTTTGCTACTCCAGCTCGAACAATCGCCAACGCTTTAGGGCATGTTGATTGATAATAACTCGGTGAGAGCTTGCAACTGGCAGTGGCGATAACTGAAGTGGCAACGACAAGGATGACGAAAAAGTCGAGCATATCGCGTGGAGCCATAACATGAATTATGGTATGTTCCTGTCGAAAACCAGCAGGGGCACACACACTCAGATGAAGTTTCTTTGATCTCTATGGTTTACACCGAATCTTGTTATAACGTAACTCAATGATTGCAATGAAATAAAGCTTGAAAATAATAGCTCCTTTTCCGACTTTTTCCGGGCAGAGGAACACTGATTAGATGACGTCGCATCGAGAGGTGATAGTTCTTTTCTAGCAGGTTCACCGCCAAAGTTTTCACGGAGTGATAAGGCAAGGGAGAACAAGATTGCATTATTTTCTGCTTCGTAGTACTAATGGTAATGGTGCATGGATTGGGAAAGTTCACGCGTCTGTGTTCTGGGACCACAAAAGCGACCCCCTTATCTACTGAAGAAAAGTGATCGATTACAGTCTGACACCAAAACTATATTAAGATTCGTTGTACAATCACCATAAAAAAAGAAAATAAAAATGAGAGAAAAAATCGACACATAATGTTTTATCTCGGTTCACCTTTAAATTACGATTACGTCCATCAGATAATTCCACTATAGTTAGCACCTCATATTTCTCTGTTACATCCATCAACTATAAGAGAAAGATATTATATATAACGGTAACTATTCATGGGCCCAAACATAAACTATTAATAAAATACAAACTCAAGCTATAAAAATCCTCTGGCTTCTTATTAATGGGGAGTATGAACCATACTCCAACAAACTACAGTGTTAAGCCCATTGAAATGCACAGAAATGCATAGTTTTCACATATGAGATTTTTGCATTACTATGACTAGCTTACATTCAAGGTCATACAACGCTTATTTTATTGCCAAAATTTTTTAACGAATTACTTTAGTGTCACTTAATTTCTTAAACGATAACTTATGTGCCAACTTTGATTGAAGACGCCAAAAATCTGACGTACCAAATTTTATCATTTTTTTTACTAACGTGGCTCACTGATACTTTGAGTCAGCATCAATAGTCTTAACACGTCGTTCAGCAAGTTTGCCCCAAATTTAAACCTTAATCGGACAAATCAAGCCATTTCCCTCTCCTTCAGACCCTAGTTTGGACAGAGGCAAAACGAATGGCAATTTGCAATTGAGAACGATGGTATATGTCATGCGGAATGGTTCATTCTTCGGTGGTTGTTGACAGTAAGCTGTGGATATGGGGAAAGGACGGCCGACGCCTAGGGCTTGGTCACGAGGACCCAGCCTTCGTGCTGACTTTAAAGCCTAGCCTGGACGGTGTTCGGTGCATTGCTCTGGGCGATCTTCACTCAGTTGCGTTGCTCGGTTGAGTCTTCACTTAGTGCATTGTGTTTCTCTCTTGAAGTGATTGGGAGTGAAATCTTGTTGCTATTGAAAGGACGCAACCTCAAACACAATTAAAAAATCAACTCCCAAAAGTCTCCATCAATATCACTTTGGCTCTATTAGCGACTGACTAAGGAACCTAAAAAATTTGAAAAGGAATGGGACGAGCAACCGCAGCTTAGTGAGTAGTACATCTATTTTAAATAGATCTAGCAGCCACAATGCATATTATATATATAAGTATAGAGCAATACCAGAAACTCATATTCCAACTCTTTAATATACATATCAAATCATATATGAGTTGTTTCATTGCAACAAGCTTTAAACGATTCATAAATACTCATTTAAATTATCCTCTCAGTTCAAACATCAGTGGTCAAGTCCATTGATCAAAATCAACCAAATCACATGTTAATGGTCCATTTCATCGACTAATATCAAATCACATGTCAATGGTCTATTCCATCAACCAAACTTGTGATAAAATATCTCACCATGATCACGTATAACGTCCTAAGAAAAGGTGACCACGCTCTCCCTATGGCAAAATCTTCACCTATATTGCCGGTGGCTGGCCCACAAGGATATCCTGATATTAGTATATGCATATCCACGAGCCCCCTTAATGGGCTTACTTCTATATTGAGTTCCAACACAAACTTACAACAGCATTCTTCACAATTCACAAATCAATTCGGAATCTAATCACAAAACGGTTTCACAAATCAAATATATAATCTTTCTCAATTCCATTCATTAAATAAAATACATTTCACAATGCGTTTCTCAAACCATTTTGGAATTCATTTCATAAACCTGTAATATTTCTAAACAGCTTTCATAAAACGTTTTTAAACTATTCACAAATAACTGAAAAGTAGTAAATGCCCGATCCAATATTTTATGCAACAAACATGCTCTTTCGTAACTCATAATATATTGAATCTTTATCGTTTTCAAGACATGAGTTTACAAATTCATAAAATAAATAGCACTACTCACTCGAATCGATAATCTTGTAATTCGTGCATTGCTCGATAAACAAATAGTGAAGGTCACTCGAATCGATGATCTCGTAATTTGTGCATTGCAAATCAGAATTGAATCGGCTTGGCGAGGTCCTGTAGCATGTATGCACAAAATCACCTTTTGTTTTTTCTCTCTTTCCTTTTCCTTTCTTTCTTCTTCTTTTCACTTGCTTTTCCCTTTCTTACGCGCGTCTGTCGGCCTCTTCTTTTCCTTCTATAATGGGCCGAACATCCAATTTTTTTTATTTGTGGGGCCACCCTTTGACAAGTCAAAATATTACCCATCCTATGTCTCATACATAGAGAGCCCTTGCCGAGATTGGTGGAGGGGTCGAGGTATGGGAGGAATACTGAAAAAGCTTGAGATGATGAAATTTGCAAAACTTGAACAAATCAAAATTTGCAAAGCCTGAAGAGAAGAAATCTGGATGACACAAGTATCCAAGCATTTTAAGAAGAAGAGAGATCACACGGTCCACGTGAACCTCTCCAATTATTTGAAGGGTTCAGATTTTCTTTTTATTTATAAAAAATCCACGTAGGCATTAACATTCTGCAAAAAAAAGCCACGCAGGAATTTTCGCCGGAATTTGTCATCGGAGATACTTAATCATTTTTCTTCCGATATGACATTGAAGTGATCCGGCGAAAAATTTTAGCAATAAAATGAATACTGTACGAAAGCCATGACACACTCAATTGTTCTTTTGTCCTTGCATTTAGCATGTGTAAAGTGTTAATTGTGGAAGTAGAGATTACCAAGTTTCTGTCATTTGAGAGAAGAAGGTGACCCTACTTGATGCTTTTTCATAAAGCGATTCTTCACGAGGCAACACCACCCAATCGTTTTATTAGTCTGTTGCCCTTCACTTTCGCGTAACATGTGGTCAATCTCGGTGTCAAATCACGGGGCAAAGACCCAGATGAAAACAAATCACGGGGCAAAGACCCAGATGAAAACAAATCACGTCGGCCCTCATGTGGACAGCAATAATGGTGATCGGACGATTCGACGTGCATGGGGGTCTAGACTATTTGTCTGTTGTGTTGTTGTCATTAATGTGATTGGATAAATATAAAATAAAGTTGGTTCGAGATTGTTTTTGTTTACAAGAACGAACCGACACAACATTTCGTGAAGTGGTTGTAAGAATTTTTTTGATGTAAGTTAAATTAATCAAGATTGTAATTTACCATATTACGGGATTAATCTTATAAGGTAAGATTTAAAAATTCTTAATTAGTTTAATATGAAACTGACTAGTATGGACCAGATAAAGCGCGGCTTGTGATGAAAGGGCTCGTGGCTTAAAACTCTATAAATAATACTCAAGTCTCTCTTTTAATCCTAATGCACAAATTATCTCGCATAAAGAGCAGTTGCAAGAGGAGTCGTTATCATTCCGCATCAAGAACGATAGATTCCAAATCAAGTGTGCAAACCCCTTTTACTCGATTATATGTGTTCTGAATTCTAGCTATGGAGATTTGGGTATCGTTTATCACGGCCAACAGTGGTATCTTGCCTTCTGTGTGATTCTCCGTGAATGATACCTTTGACACCCTTTCTAAGGTATGCAAATTTCTTAACCCGCTTGCATTTAGCGACACTATTAACTTCACTCATTTTCAAGTCGATGACTCAAGTTCATTTCTTCCCTATTTATCCCGATTCCCTAAACTATCTTCTTTTGTTTTGTATTTCGAGAAGACGATAGAAAGGTTTAAGAGTTCACCGGCTTGTTTATTCGGGTGCACGTCAAAACGTTCGGAGGGTTTTCATCGTATATTGAGAGTAGGACGTCGTCAATCATTGCATGCGGACGCGATGGAAATCAACTCTAAGGTGAGTGCTAATCATAGCATGCCTTGAATCTGGTTTTATTCCCTCGCTCATTCTTTGATTTTCTGGCAATTTGTGAAAAGAAACTTGGGGGGCCGGCTTGTTCTTCCCTTATCAGGGACCGTTTTGTGCTGCTCATCACTTCATCTCTAGGGATGGTTTTATTGCCGTAGCCGGAGTTCGCAGTAGGGACGACGCTGGTGTCCTCCGTAGCTCCTTTCCAATTCTGCACTCATAAATTTAGTAGGACAGAAGGAATTGTCTCCAGGACAAGGCCGTCTCTGAAGCTAAAAATATCCCTCCCTAAGAGTTATCAGCGACGGCATAGATTTCGTCACTATTATGTGGGGCGAGGTCGTCCCGTGATTTTCTAATGATCTCCATCGCCAAAGATTTTATTGGGGATGAGCTTTACCGTAGGGCTGTCAAAAAAGCCCGGGCCGGCCCGACCCGGACTGACCCGGAAATTTAGGGCTTCTTCAGGTCGGGTCTCCTTTGGTTCGGGTAAGACATTTAATTTTCGAATATCATCCCTATTTAAGGCCGGGCCGGTCTGGGTCAGGCTTTTTTTGACAGCCCAGCCCGTGACTTAAAAAAGCCCTAGCTAGACACATACTACTAGATATAGATAGTACACTGTACTGCACGGCCGCCTCTCTCTCTCTCCTTCGACGACGAAGACCAAGACGCTGCAGGGTCGCAGGATCTGAGCGCCGAAGCCGCTCTCTCGATCCCTGTTCGAGGACCACGACACGGATAACAGTGGCCGTCATCCCGGTGGCGACAGCTGCTACGGCGACGTGCGTTGTGAGGACTGTGGGTCGGGAGATTCTCGCGACGAGTTACTTCTCTGCACCTGTTCTGCCTCCGGCCGGTCCTCGTGTCTGTACCTAAATGGTCGTGGTTTTGTCCCCCTTGCACCGAGCGCAAGCAGCTCAAATTTCACTACGTATTGGGAACATCTGGGGTTGTTTGGAATTCTGTCTTATGGGCAGAGAGAATCTGTCTGGTGTTTCTTTCTGAATTCCGATTGTCTTGCTGTGCCGGCGGGACGACAAGTTGCTGTGTGACACTGATGTTTTTCGTCTGGGCAAGACCTTCTCTGATACATTTTAGGCATGAGCTAGCGAGAGGGCAAGAAGAAAAGTGTGCGTGATGTGGTATATAATGCTGGGGCTAGCTATGTGATTGTGACTGATGGGTTTACAAGTGCTAGTGGAAAAGGTTCGGTCTTGATTAGTTTAGTACAATTGAACTTTCTCATATCATGAGGATCGGGAAAAGACAATTCTAATTTCGAGTCTAAGAGTTGTTCTTGGCTTTCGTTGCTTTAGCTTGATTTTGTTGTTTGATCTGATTCAGGGCTGATTTTGTTGGTTGTTTTGATCTGGGTTTGGCTGGCTTCTTGAGTTCTGTGTGTTTGCCTAGACTGAATCGTTGGTAACTCCATCTTGGGAATTACTGAGCCTGTATCTCATTGTAGAGCATATTTGCTTGTTTCTGTCCAAGGAAAGTAGCAGTTTCTAACCATTTCCTGCCCTATTCAGGATGAGACATTGAGAAATGCTGTTGCATATATTTTTTGTTATTACACGTGAGAAAGAACGCTTGGAATTGCTATAAACACACCAATAACATTTCGAGGGATTCCATGACTATTCATATTTGAGGTTGACACCCATCTCAAATGGCAATCTATTGAAAAAAAAGAGGAAAAAAATAAAAAGAAAACCCGAAACCCGGACCGACCCGACCCGACCCGTCTCTTGGGGTAAAGGCTGAATAGGGTTTTGGGTTGGGTCGGGTCGGGTCATAGCCGACCCTGTTGGTTTTGGGTCGGGTCGGGTATTATGAAAACCCGACTCGACCCATTGACACCCCTACTTTTTTTTTTTGGTCAAGAACGATAATACTTTCGTTTAACTAGGCAATACAAACGGCCCCATTAAATGGGCTTCCCAACATAAAAGATCCAAAAGTGGAAGAGGAGGAGATACAATCCAATTAGATGGAAGAAACTTGCGTCCGTGGGCTTTTGCGACCCAGTCCGCAACAAAATTAGCCTCCCTTCTACAGTGCTGGATCCGGAGCTTCGAGAATGATTGGATCATAGCAGTACAGTCAGCAAGGAATGGACGGATCTCCCAAGGAGCAGACCTCGGATTGAGTATCGCATTTACTACCAACAGGCTATCTGACTCAACTATTATGTCCTCAGTTTCTTTCCTTTTCTGAATCAAAAAGTTGAGGGTTTGATAAAGTGCCAGCACCTCAACCTGCAGAGACGACGAAGCTTGGACATCCCAGGTGTGGCCATCTATCAATTGACCTCTGTGATCACGGCACACACAGGCCACAGCTCCCTTCTCCGCCCCCATCATGTAAGCACCATCTATATTTACCTTCAGAGTTCCAATTTCCGGAGGAAGCCAAGTCTGGGAGGATTCGTTGAGGGCATGTGTGCTGTTCGTGTTTTGCAAACCCCATGAGCATGAGATTCTCGAGGATGCGATTGCTGTATCCACCGTAAACACCGGATCTGGGTTTAGTTTCCTGAATATGAAATTATTCCGAGCCTTCCACATCTGCCAAAGGACCGAAGCAATTACCTCCAGATTGGGTGAGTTTGCTCTATTTTCCATCAGATCTATAATCCATGCTTCCACTCGTGATAAACCCTGTGATGGAATTTTGATATTCAGTTGTGGGTTTGCCCAAACTTCTCTTGTCCAGGGGCAGTGCAAAAATAGATGCTCCGTCGATTCTGGAATGCCATCATTACACAATTCACATACTGGATCAGGTAAGATTTTCCTTCGAAAGAGATTCTCCTTTGTAGGAAGGCCATTTTGACAAAGAGACCACATGAAAAATCTAATTTTGGGAGCTATTCTCATTTTCCATATTCCTCTCCAAAGGCTGCGTGGTACTTGGAAAGAGGAGGAAGCTGAGTTATGATTGTTGTTTTGGTCTGCTGCCCTTAAGCAATTGTAACCACTTTTAACTGTATATTTGCCGGTCTGTGTCCCTGTCCAGATGATCTGGTCTGATATTGCTTGGGGTCTGATCGGTGTTGATAGAATTTCTTTCACTGTTTGATCATCGAAACTGTCTCTTAAAAGCTGAGTGTTCCATGTATTCTCTTCCCGATTTATAAAGTCAGCCACCAACTCTGGTTCTCCTCTAGGAGCTGGTCCTCCTATTATTCCCCTACGCAGCCATTTATCTTCTCTAATACGTACTTTCTTGCCATCTCCCACAGACCACTGCACCTTTTGATGAATAGCGTCTCTTCCTACTAAGATACTTTTCCACCCCCATGAAGGTCTTGAACCCTTCTCCGCTCGCCAAAAATCCCTGTTAGAAAAGTAAATTCCTTTGAGTACCTGACTCGACAGAGAAGATGGGTTTTGGAGGAGCCTCCACGCCTGTTTGCCTAACATTGCTTTGTTGAAAGCAATTAGGTCTCTGAATCCAAGCCCTCCGAAGTCTTTCCTCATTTTGAGTAATTCCCATTTTTTCCAATGCATACCTGATTTATCCACTGAGTTTTTCCACCAAAAGGCTGCGATTTTCTGTTCCACCGACTTACAAATAGACACTGGGAGCTTAAAAATTGACATGGCATATTGCGGAATTGCTTGAACCACTGATTTTATCAAGATTTCTTTACCGGCTTTGGAAATAATTGATTCCTTCCACCCCTCTAATTTAGAGTTCACTCGCCCCAATATCCAAGCAAACATCTCCTTCTTTGAGCCGCCCCAATCCGATGGAATCCCCAAATATTTCCCTATCCTATCAATCACCGGAACTCTCAATTCTCTAGCCAAGTTTTCCTTCAGCCTTACAGGACAGTCTCTACTAAAAAAGATGCCAGACTTGTTGAGGTTGATAGCTTGTCCCGAAGCCACGCAATATTGATTCAGGATATTAGCCAAGTTTTGACATTCATGTAACTTCCCATCCAAGAAAAAAATAGAGTCATCCGCGAAAAATAGATGAGAAAGTATAGGTCATCTCCTGTTGAGCTGAATACCTCTGATGTGTCCAATATCTACGGCATTCTTGACAAGTGTGGAGAGTACATTGGCCACCAAAATGAAGAGGTAAGGGGAGAGTGGGTCCCCCTGTCTAAGACCCCTCGAAGGCTGAAAATACCTTGATGGTTCTCCATTGAATTTAACACTGAAGGAAACCGTAGTCACACACTCCATAATCCAATGCACCCACCTTACGTGAAACCCCATTTTGATAAGACAAGCCTCTAAAAAGTCCCATTCTACCCGGTCATAGGCTTTTTCCATATCTACCTTTAGAACAGCCTGAAATTTCCTCTTTCTCTTTCTAATTCTGAGATGGTGGAGTACCTCTTGCACGACTAGAATATTATCTTGAATTTGCCTCCCACTCACAAACGCACTTTGCTCCGGTGCAATAAGATTTGGTAGCCAAGGCTTAAGTCGATTAGCTAGCACCTTTGAGATAATCTTGTAGATAAAGTTACACAGGCTAATAGGACGGAACTGCTCGAGTCTTTCAGGATTGGGTGATTTGGGTATAAGGGAAATAAAAGTCCGGTTTAAATCTGGTTCCAACCTCCCGGAAACGATAAAGTCGTTTACAGCCTTGAAGATATCTTCCTTTAAAATCTCCCAGTGGTGTTGGTAAAACAACCCATTTAAACCATCCGGACCAGGAGCTTTAGAAGCCCCGAGTTGGAAAACCACTTCTTGTATCTCTTTTACCGACACCTCAGCCACTAAACAGTCATTCATATATTTTGACACCACACGCGGACAATGTGATAACACCGGGTGGAAGTCTCGAGACCCAATTGACTGATATAATTTCTCAAAATACTCCACAGTCATCTCCTTCAATCAAGTTTGGTCTCTCGTCCAAGTACCATCCGAACTTTGCAACATTGTTATTCTGTTCCTTTGTCTACGCTGGATAGTAGTTGCATGAAAATATTTTGTATTCCTGTCCCCCCATTTAAGCCAATTGATTCTGGACCTCATGCCCCAATACATTTCCTCTTGTATCCACGCTTTTTCAATTTCCTTTTGGAGATGACAAACCCGTTCCCTATCAAAGGAACCACTGGAATTATTTATATGCTGCTGAATTTCCTACTTCAAAGTAATAATTTTTTGATGGCCATGGGAAAATCTATTCCTGCTCCACTTAGTGAGTGCTAGAGACACATTCTTTAACTTTCTAGGGAGGCTAGTGTCATTTAGACCCGAAGACGCCCATGAATCAGATACCACGGTATGACACTCCTCATCCTCCAACCAATATACCTCAAATTTGAACTCTTTTTTTCTTTTCACTCGCTCCCCCTTGAATTTCAACAGTAATGGGCAGTGGTCCGAACCTATTGCGGGTAATG